GATAGAAACTTCAGACAACTCGGACTCGACATAAGAGTTATGCCGACAAACGACAATCCGAGTTGGAGATATGGTTTCATTGAACGTATCACCCTGGAAGGGTGTAATACGCTTTGAGAAGAGGGCCAAGTTGGGTCCCCGATATATTAGGCCTTTTCGGTTGATAGCCAGGGTTAGCAAGGTAGCATACAGATTGAATTTTCCTGAGGAGCTTATCCAGATCCATAGCACCTTCCATGTTTCTCAGCTTCGGAAGTGTGTGGCTGATGATTCAGCAGTCGTTCCTTCGGAGGATATTCAGGTTGATGATCTTTTGAATTATGTGAAGAGACTAGTGGTAATCCTAGACCGGAAGGCGAAGACCCTGCGTAACAAGGAGGTATCATTAGTCAAAGTTCAGTGGCAGCATCGGAAGGGTTCCGAATGGACATGGGAATCCGAGTCAGAGATATATGGGTATTTTCTGGAGTTATTCGCATCAACGGACTTCGAGGATGAAGTCTAATTCAAGTGGGGGAGAATTGTAACATTCCGATGATGATGTATTTTCAATTTTAACCCTAAGTATGAAGAATTATTGCATTTTGGCCCTTGTGCATGAGAAAGCTTTCAAAATGTCTCATAATGGCATTTTTTGTACTTTTGTGGAAAACTCACGTACGCGGGGCGTACCTAGCATATGCGGGGCGTACATGTGTGATCCAAAAACCCTAATTTTTAGGGTTTGGACCCTATATAAACATCATTAACTTTCAAGTGCTCACTCCCTCATCGGCCTCCAATACCTCCAAACGATCTTAGTAAACCCTAGCCACTTGTTTGAGCATTATTGACCCTTGTGTGTGTTGTTGGTGGCCTTAGAGGAGAAAGAAGGAAATAGAATCACCTTGGAAGCTTGAAAGAGCTTTGGATCTGGGATCTTCACCTATCTAGCAACCTCCAAGAGGTATAAAGCTTTAAACATGGCTTGTGATTTCTTAGATCTTGCTATGTTCTTGATTCATGAACATTTTGGTCCCAAGTCTTGACGTTTTTTAGTATGGCATGATCCAACCCATTTAAACTATCCTTTCAGGCATTTTGAATAGTTTAGAAGCATAAGAATAGGGTCTTGGCTCTTAACTCTTCCCCATGCATGTGCTTGGTGGTCTTAATAGGTTAAGAGGTTAGATTTTCTAGCATTTAACACTTATTGGCCATGCAAGACCAAAAGTTGGAAACTTTATGCGCAAGAATGATATTTGGGACTTTGATCTGCAATTTAGACGTAAAAGATCAAGTATTAAACACTTAGTGTATTAACAAGAAGTTCAGCTTTGTACGTTGGGCGTACCAATTGGTACGTTGCGTGTACGCGACCAAACCCATGTTTCCTAGTTAACCATCGAGTACGCCCCGCGTACTCGACTGGGTTAACTAAGATGGTTTGTTGACTTTGACCTTTGACCAAGTTTGACCTGAGGGTATTTTAGGAAAATTGAGTGGTACTTGAGATCTGTCATTATTTGGTGCTTAGGTGTCCAGTTGAGTTGTCGTTCGGAGTTGTGTTCTGCCAGATATCTTTGTAGACTGAGTGTAACGTCCGGGATATATCAGGTATTACGTTACTTTTTATTCAATTTTAATTATGAATGTTGGGATTTTTGGGACGGAGCGTACGCTGGGCGTACAGGGTGTACACACAACATACACATATGAGGCGCAGATCGAGGAACCCCGATGCATACGTTGGGCGTACCCATGCGTATGTTGGGAGTAGGGTGATCAGATGCAAACCCTAAATTTTAGGGTTTGCACCCTATTTAAACAACTTATAACCCTCCAAACCCTTATCCTCTCAGACTCCCTTGTTCTCTCAGTGCCCAACTCGAACCCTAACTCCATTGCATGTATCTTGAGCTTACTTTGAGAATTTTGGTGTTGTTTTGGGGTTTTGAAGATCAAGGAGTTTGAAGAAGGAGCAAGGACTTGAAGAGAGCTTGTAGATCCAGGAGATTAACACCTTTTTCTGACTCATTTGAGGTATCAAGCTTCAAACTTGACCATTGCATGCTTAGTTGTAGTTTTGGGGTGTTTTATGTGATATTTTGACTACATATTTGAGGTTTCTTGTGTTATGGTAGTTCCAGCCCATAAGAGCTGTCCTTTTGAGCTCTTGGAAGCATTTAGAGTCATAAAAATCAGACCTTGATGGTTAAGCTACAACCATGCAAGTCTTAGATGGTTACAAAGTGTGTTTAAGGACTTAAGTCATGTCTTAACCCCCATCCATGCATGCAAAGACATAAAGTTTGTAACTTTATGGTTTAGGACGTCTTAAAAGACCTGGATCTATGTTTTGGATGTGAGGAGTTAACGGATTAAGTCACAAAAGGAGTTCTAAGGAAACTGGCCAGTACGCTGCGCGTACTGGGTCAATTTTCCGCTTCTGGTGAAGGCCAGCGTATGCCTCGTGTACGTCCCAGGTACGCTGCGCGTACGCATACAAAATGGTTAATGTGGTTTTATGGCCTGGATTTGTTGGGATTCATGGCCCACTGTGGAGTAAGGCCTCTGGGCCTAGGACTGAGATTTATGGTATTGGGCCTTATTAGGCTTTAAAGCTTAAAGTAATGGACTTGGGCCTTAAATTGATTATGGATTGGACCTTGGGGAAAAGGCCCATTAGGGCAAGGACTAGGGGACCTTGCCTTGGGACATGAATTAGAAGTTGGGCCATAAGAGAGTTATACTTGGACCCAATAACTAACTAGGGGACTTATTATGCTTTAGGGAGAGGAGTCCTGAGCCATCCGAGGAGCACGATTTTGGCACACAGTTGTGGTGAGTTACCTTCCCGGTATGAGTGGGTCGAAGGCACCATTGTCGGTCCACTAGTAGTTGTTACAGTAGAGATAATTGTCTTTATGATAATTGTCTGGTATGTCACTATCTGTTGAGATTTATGTGCTTGTATGCTATGTTATTGCATGGTAGTGGTAGGGGTGAAATAGTCCCCGTAACCGGTCGAAAGGATCGAAGGGGTAGGTTAGCACCCAGATATGCTAGGCAGTATGTGATTTAGGTGTATGTGCTAGGATATTATGTGGTAGTGGTAGGGGTGAAATAGTCCCCGTAACCGGCTGAAAGAGACCGAAGGGGGTAGGCCATCACCCTAATATGCTAGGCGTATACCGGTTGAAAGAGACCGAAGGGGTAGGCCAGCACCCTGATATGCTAGGCAGTTACCGGTTGAAAGAGACCGAAGGGGTAGGCCAGCACCCGAATATGCTAGGCAATATGTTTATTGTATGGTATGTGGTGTGATGTGGGAACTCACTAAGCTTCGTGCTTACAGTTTTCTGTTTTGGTTTCAGGTACTTCTTCTTCGAAAGGAAAGGAGTCGACATGATCGCAGCGCATCACACCATGATTTTCGCACATGAGATCTTTGGGAGTTATACGCTGATGTTGTTTTATTATGACATGTTTTGATTATTGAGATATTGGTTTTGAAATGGGATGACATTATGGATGTTTTCATACTATTGGTTTTATAATTATTTAATTAAAAATTAAATTTTTGGTCTTGAATTTTGGGATGTTACACTGAGAGGTGAGTTTTCCTCACTATACTTATGGGTCGAAGGCACCAATGCCGACCCACTAGATTATGTATCCTGGTTTAGAGGATGTTGCTATGTTATAGTGATCAGTTAGATCGGTATCCTGGTAAATAGAATGTGGTATGCAGTAGTGATCTGTAGGTCTGCCTGTTTGTCTGATGACTAGTTATATATTTATCTGTTGCCGGATATATGTTATATGTTATGTATATGTCGACATATTATGGTTGGGTTGAGGTAGTACTGTCGACATGTTATATGTTAGTTGCTGGCCTGTAGGGCAAGCCAAACTTATGCTATGGGCTCGGGAGCAAGCCAGATAAGAGTTGTGGGCCTGAAGGGGCAAGCTAGACTCATACTGTGGACTCAAGGGTAATCTGGTCTGTTAGTTGTGGACCCAGTATATGCTGTTATATGTTGTGTGTTGGTACTTTGGGGGAACTCACTAAACTTTGGTTTACAGTTTCAGTTTATTGTTTCAGATACTTTGGATGATCGCGGGAAAGTGAAGACGTGATCGTGCACATCTTCCTGTTTTGTGTTATGGGATCTTGGGAAAACTCTGATTTTGAATAATACTTTTGAAACAATGACTCTTTTGTAAATAATGATTGGTAAATGGTTGATTTTAAAAAAATTTAAATTTCTATGATTTTTGAAGTGTTACACTTCAATGGATTACACATAATTATATTAGGATGTCAAGTTATTGTTCAATGGAAATGTGGAGAAACTAAAACCTTTTTTTAAGTTTAAAATAAATGTTTCATTGAATTTTTATATAGGTCAATGCAACGTCGGAAAAATGGTAAAGTTGTATAAAAAGTAAATTATGATATGATAATCCATTAAACTCTATAAAATTCAATATATTGTGGCATAATGCATACTTTGGTGGAAGTGCTCGATGAGATAAAATCTATATTCGGCAATCAATAAATTAAAGTCAATGTTAAGTTGGTGTTAAATGGATGAAAGGAAAATCAAACTTTTTATGGTTAAAATAAATGTTTCATTAAATTTTATGGATTTTAATGTATTTAAAAATAATAACAAAATCATATCAGATAAAAAATAAAATAATGATATGACAATGAATTAACTTTTATATATATATATATATATATATATATATATATATATATATATATATATATATATATATATATATATATATATATATATATATATAAAGTTAATGCACTTGCAACCGGTGGTCGACGGTTTTTTTTTTTTTTCCTTTGCTGTTTTTATGTATACTTAAATTAAGATACCCATTATGTCGACAATCATTGAAAGTGTTTTTTTTCTTTTTCTTTTTTATATATAAATAAACAGTTACACATCTATCTATGATATCACAATTTAGTTGCGATTCTTTTAGCTTTTCTGCCAATGACAAAATTCCACCTTGTTGCTTTAACACTTTTTTCAGCTGTGCTCTTCTTCCTTTTCCGTGGAGGATTCGCCATGGCTGCAGGGACGTCAGATGGATCAGAACAATGGGGTTACGTCGAAGTTAGACCTAGTAAGCTTCCATGATTCCATTCTCCTTAGATATCCCATTTTCCAAAATTCGATCTTTTGACATTCTCGTGTGTTGTTTTGTGGTGTTTTTAAACACAGAAGCTCATATATTCTGGTGGTATTACAAAAGTCCTTATAGAACTCAAGATTCAAACAACCCATGGCCTATAATTCTTTGGTTACAAGGTGGACCTGTAAGTACTTATATTTATACAAATGCAAGAAAACAAGTTTTATTCTTCAAAAATGTGTTCGTGATTTTCGTGTGGGTTTTATAGGGTGCGTCAGGAGTTGGGACTGGAAATTTTGAAGAGGTGGGTCCATTAAACTCTTTCTTGAAGCCAAGAAACTCTACATGGCTAAAGAAGGCAGATCTATTATTTGTGGTATGTGAATTTTTTTAGTAGAAACGCTTATATTAAAGAATTTTTATTGAACTCTAATGATATTTTTTGATAATTTTTGGTGGGACATTAGGATAATCCAGTTGGGAGTGGATACAGTTATGTTGAAGACAAAACGTTATTGGTGAAAACTGATGAGGAGGCTGCCATTGATTTAACGACATTATTGATTGAAATCTTTAATACAAATGAAACCCTTCAAAAGAGTCCTCTTTATATAGTGGGAGAGTCTTATGGTGGCAAATATGCAGTCACTCTTGGATTGTCTGTTCTCAAGGCCATTGAAGATAAGAAGTTAAAGCTCATTCTTGGAGGTATACACGCCAGTTTTAATCAGGATTTCGTAAAAATATCTACTTGTTTTGCTATATTTTGATGGGAACTTACCAAGAAGATTGCTTTTTTTAACCGACGTATCTAGTATTCAATGCAAACTTACCATCTTTCTTGTGAAATTACCAAGAAGAGCATTACTGCTTTTAGAAACTCAGTGATTTTGGACAAAAGCATAAATATAAATGCACATAAAAGCTATTAGATACATTTATTCAAAAAGTCAATGTGAACTGTGTGGTGTGGGGTAGTTTAATTTTAATTCGAACATAGATTGGATTCCTTGTGAACACGCACAAAGTGGGCCATTAATGGGCGACTACTCGATATAAGTCTCATATGATGTTTTTGGACCTATTCTCACAGGTTTGTCTAAAAATAACGTTTGGTAACTCTTTTTTTAATGGATTTAATGATTTATCTTCAGGTATTGCATTGGGAGATAGTTGGATCTCACCTGAAGATTATGTGGTACTTTACTTTCTCTTTTTAGCTTGTTTGAACAAATATGAACCTCTAGAATATATCAAAAATGATTTTAAATTTTCAAAAACTTTTGAAATTGGAAATATTAGGTATCATGGGGTCCTCTTCTGAAGGATGTTTCAAGGATAGGCGGCAATGGCTTGATCGAAGCAAACAGGTTGGCCTTCCTCCAATGCACTCCATTAGCAATTGTGGGATTTGTGGTGTTTCTATGTGTGTAATGGCTATGTTGACTTATTATTCCTATGCATTTGATTGCTTTTTTTTTCATGATCTTTATTCAATATGAAATTACTATTTACCTTTGAGTTTTCTTTGATGACATAGGTGGGAAGGGCTAAAGACATTCTTGAGTCTTGATAGAACTCCAATATATTGTGGATATGATAAATGACAAAAGGGTTCACCAAGTCTTACAAAAATTTACACTTTTATTGGATTCTTGAAGCTGGTCACTTTGTAAGTTTCACACTTACACCCTCCAAATTTGATTTTAATGATCATACAAGTACTTCTATTTTTCTATAGTTCATGTATTTGGATACTTACTCTTACAGGTCACTTCTCACATATTACCACAATAACACTATATATATATTGCATCCCAATTCCAAACATCCTATATCAGTTGAATTAATAAATTGTAATACCATTTTTGTAACTTCTCTATGAATGATCGGTCATTTGAAAACAACCTCTTTTACTCAAGAATATTATATTGAAATTGTTATATTTTTGTGTTGCAATATTTCAGGTACCAGTAGATCAACCATGTGTGGCATTAGAGATGGTGGGAAGGATGACTCGTTCCTACATATCTACGACGAAGATAAACGGTAGAGAAAAATGAGAAATCATAAACTAAAAAGTATTTAAGAACAAAATCAAGAAAGGGAGAGAGGCTACTAAAACAAAAATATGATTATATTTTGTATATTAACTGAATTTTGAAGTCACAATAATTACACAACATTTAAAAAATAAAAACATTGAAAATGAACTTCAGGAAAATATGTAGTATTTCCCTACTTCACATATCTATAGGAAATAGTTTGTCTCGTAACTTTTTATTTAGTAATATATTTATTTTGTAAAAGTTATATCTTTCACAGTTTATTTTACGAGCTTGTTAGTTTATTAGAAAAAAACCCAAATTTAATTTCAAGTGAAATGTTGTTGAGAATTTGAGATAGAATCGATTTAGTTCTTATAATTTTTTTTATTCGATTAACTCCCAAAAACCAGGAATTATATTCAATTTGACCATTTTACCCGGTTGACAGGTCATAAACTTTCAAAAATTATACTTTTTGCCCAAATTTTAAATTCTATTACAAATTTGGTCCAAAATTTACACTTTTGGCCTAGATTTTATTTTATTTTTCACAAATTCATCCTAAATTTTATTTTTTACTTCTTCTTTTTCAAAATTTTGTTTCGAATATGTTTTTTTTGCTGTACAAAATCGAATTTGTACAAAAAAAAACATACTTTCACATAAAAAACGTTCTTTTTTCTATATAAAAACGTTTTTTTAACATTTTTGTATGCAAAATACCTACATAAATTTTTTTTAAAAAAAAACATTTTTCTACGCAAAATATTTATTTATAAAAACATTTTTTTTGTTCTAAATACCTATTTCTAAAAACGTACTTATTTAGAATTGTGTGAAATACACTTATGTAAAACACGTTACATAAGTGTATTTCACGCAATTTTACATAACTACGTTTTTATAAATAGATAATTAGAATAAAAATATGGTTTTATAAATAAGTATTTTGCATACAAAAATATATTTTTTTAAAAAAAAAGTTTTTATATAGGTATTTTGCATACAAAGATGTTTTTAAAAAAAAACATATTTACATAGAAAAAATAAGTTTTTTTACGTGAATTTGTTTTGTATAAATATAATTTAATACAGCAAAAAAACATATTCGAAATAAAATTTATGATGACGTTTTTAAAAAAAAAATTGAAATTGGTGCCAAAAGTGTAAAATTTGGACCAAATTTGTAATAAAAATTAAAATATGGGCTAAAAATGTAATTTTAGAAAGTTGGATGACTGTAGACCTGTTGACCGTGTGCATATATATATATATATATATATATATATATATATATATATATATATATATATATATATATATATATATATATATATATATAGAGAGAGAGAGAGAGAGAGAGAAAAGATTTATAAAAGATTAAGAACTCTAAAAACCACTTATTTAACTTATAATTAAGGTTAGTTTTGTATTTCCCAATCTTTTGATTTTTAAAAAAAATTTATAAATAAAAAGAGACAAAGGGGATAATGGTCTTTGTGTAAAACGCGTTCCATAACTTTTGATTAGATAAGATTATTTGATAATTAGCCAAGAACAAAAAAAAACTCTCTTATCTCCTTAAACCACTTTCTATGAACACCACGACAGCCACCACCGCCGACTGCGACCTCACCGCCGCCACCACCGCCGATGGCGACCTCACCACCGTCGACGCCAGATTTCAGATCTGGAACTGCCGTTACCTCTTCTATGTTGCATCTCCGGTGAACCGTTGCCCCCTCCTTCCACCAGTAAACTACCGTCATCAGATGTACAAGCTTTAGTCGATTCCAGATCTGTGATTTCTGGCTCAGATCTACAGTATTCGTCTCTAGATCTGCGATTTCCTATTGTAGATCTATGAAGTTCTAGTGAGGATCCACCACAACCATCTCCTTCCTGATCTGCTTCGTCTTCACTTTCTCTCAGATCTGTGGTTCATGCTTCGTCCATTGTTTTTTGGTAGCCGACTTCACCAGAGCAAACTTGTAGATTCGAAGCTAAAGTAGTTGTTTTGTGCTCAGATCTAAAGATAAAATATGAAAACTCGTCTTCTATTGATGGTTGATGGTTGTTCCACCGTCGTTTGATGGAGCCAGGAGGGTCGAGAGACGATGTGGACGGTGCTAGGGCTTGTGTTCTGTTCATCTTGAAACCTCTATCATTTTCATCGATTTGGATTTCCACCTAACCACAGCGTCGTCATCTTCATCGAACTTCAGACCTGGTAAGTTCACTTTTGTCGAACAATTGCGTCTCCATCTTCCTCAGTCTCGTTGTCCTTATGATAAAAAAAAATGTATTTGGTTTGATTTTTTTTATTTTTTTTTAAACGGAAAATCTAACATATTTCTAAACTACACTTTAAATTCACTTATGTCTACGACGGGACTTGAACCATCAACCTCAAAGAAAAAAGAAAACACCGGATACCGCTCGGCTAGAAGCCATTTGGTATTTGGTTTGATGTAAATAATAAATATGAAAAGTAAATAATAAATATAAAGCTATTATTGTTATTATAAGTAAAAGTCAAAACCTATGAAATTGTGCAGTATATTTTTTGTAGGGTTGATCTATTTGCCTCCTCTATGGCTATATATCCTAGCTTTATGACTTTTATCTTTTTCTATAAAGATATTAATTTTAAATTGCTTTTTAAAAAACAAATACACCAATTGCATCGTGTCATCCTGCGATTATGTCATTCTCCAACTCTATATATTTGGTTGATTTTTTTTTCAGTTTTTATTATTTAAAATTTAATAAATACAATAAATAAATAGTAGTTTTATATTATAATTCGGAGATTGGTATTATATTAATCTACTAAATTTTATAAATTTTATATTGATTTATGGAAAAATAAAAATAATCATGTTATTGCATTCATATAAGTAATTTGGTTATATAAATTTAAAATACTTTATATCATAGTAGCTTATCCTATCAATGACTTGAGAATCGGTCATTTTATCGGGTCGATGTTAAATCGATAAGACAAGTTCAAAAAAATCAAATGACGTCATAATTACATAATAATTAAACGGTTTTGAGCATTCCTTATTCAGTTTGTTGAACCTTTTTTATTTTTAAAATCTTTTATGTCGTTCTAAAAAGCCTAAGAATTTGTGACCTGTTTGTTTTGAATGACAAAAAGACCCGATAACCAATATTTTCTAACATCTTTAATTTTCTGTCTCATTGAATTTGGTCACACGTGAGTTTGAATCTTAGATTTGTTACTGTGCATATAAAGTGTTTGATGAAATTCTTCAATAAAATTAAGTATGTTTTTAATCTGTGAATAGTGTGCATGAGAGTCCTAAACTACTTTATTAAATTGTGAATTAGAGTCTTGAAATGTAAGTCTTAAGTTTAGAATATAGTTGTGAATGTATAATTTTTTTGTATTAAACTATGAATTTATTGTATTAAGCTGTGGATTTTGTATGTTAATTGTAAATTGATTGTATTAAGTTATGAACTGACTACATCAAACTATATATTAATTGTATTAAGCTGTGAACTGACTGTATTAAGTTTTTAATTGACTATATTAAGTTGTGAATTGACTGTATTAAGCTGTAATTTTTTATGTATTTTTTATTTACTTATGAAATATGAGATGAAATAAGCATCATACACATATGTGATTTTATCTACTTTTGAATAAAGTAAGTAAAATTTAAACTGTGAATATTTATGTAAATAAACTTTGAAATAAACACTAGCCTATAGATCTGAAGATATATGTAACATCCATAAAAATCACAACAAATTTAAACTTTTTAAAACAACCCCAAATCATAGAACGTTTACAAAATCATTGTTTAAAAAGTATTGTTCCATATCAAAGTCTACCATAGATGAAAAGTACATAAAACAGAGGATGTGTACGGTAAAGTCTTCGCCTTCCTGCGATCATCAGTAGTACCTGAAACAATAACTAAAAACCATAAGTCAAAGCTTAGTGAGTTCCCCCAAAGTACCACCACATACAACATATCAAATACAACATGCATAACCGAGCCTTCATCCGGACTGGACCGCCTCGCAGGGCCTTCAGCCTATCTGGACCGCTCCCGAGCCTTCATCCGGACTGGACCGCCTCGCAGGGCCTTCAGCCTATCTGGACCGCTCCCGAGCCTTCGGCATAACTGGACCGCCTCGCTGGGCCAACAGCCTATCCGGACCACTCGCCGGGCCTTCGGCCTAACTGGACCGCCTCGTAGGGCCTACAGTCTATCCAGACCGCCTTAGGTATCTTGGCCTTCAGCACAAGGAAGGACCACCTCAACCCGACCAACCACAACATGTCGACATACACATAACAGATAAACATATATCAGTCATCAGACAACATGCATATTTACAAATCACCACGCATGCTAACATTCCATATACCATGATACCGATATAACATATCACTATAGCATAACAACATCCTATATAATAGGAAACAGATCTAACAAATCACTATAACATAGCAAGATTCGGTAAAACATGATATCAATCCAAAGGGCCAGCCTTGGTGCCTTCGACCCGTAAGTATAGTAAAGAAAACTCACCTCACTGTCGAACAATAGCTGATGAGGTCCCGAATCTGAATCTCAGCTCTAACCGTCACCTGTTCATCCAATGACCAATTCTCAATCACCATTCAAAATACTCAAAATACCCCTTGGTCAAAGTCAAAGTCAAACTGGTCAAATTCAAAGTCAACTGAGTCAACCCAGTTGAGTCAACACAGAGTGTGTACGCGGGGCATACTCCAAATGTACGCTGGGCGTACTCGAGCGTTGACCACCATCGGGGTGGTTGACCTCGTACGTGAGGCGTACTCCGGGTACGCGGGGCGTACTCCCTGATTTCCCAAACTCTAAATAAGAACTTAATGGCTTAAGCTCTCACGTCCATTTTTCAGATCCATGGCTAAAATACTCCTAGGAGTCATAAAGTTTCCAACTTTATGACTTTGCATGTCCATTAAGTCCTTAACTCAACTTCTT